CAAAACCCATTTTAGCTCTTGCTGTACAGCTAGCATGCTAATTTAATATTAGTAAATAATTTAATCAACAATATTGATAAAAAAAAAGCATGACTTGAGAAGTAAATCCTCAAATGTAATGCCTATTTATAATTTAAAGAAACTTTAAAAGATACGATTTTTAAACCATGCCACATTTGTTTACCGTGTATTAGGAAAAAGGAATCCTATATTTATTTAATATCTAATAATGAGAAAGACTCAACTTATAGAATATGTAACGTTATTTTCTTATTTACTGTATTAGATCAAAGTTTCATTGCAGATTACGAAATAGAAAAGAATAATTCTGTAATTGGTTCTCTCAGTTATATATATATCAAATACGAATAAAGTTTACTATGGCTTATTCATAAGCCATTCCAAATGAACAATAATGTTGTCTTACCACTAAATTCCATTTAATTACTTTCATAGTATAAGGTAATACTAATAGAAACACGTTTTTATTAAAATCTTGGACATTTTGTAAACATTAAAATCGGTAGCAATTCGAGATCTCTCAGCTTTGAAGTGCCTAAAGTCTAATAAGTTTTACAAATTAATAATGTATTCTATAGATGTGGACTGAAGCAAAATAGGTTGAAAATATGCATGTGCAGTTGATGGCATCTATTTCTGAACAACAAAACGATTCTCAACATAATCAATTACAGTACGCGTTATAAATCAACCTGATAATTCTGTAATATTTTAATTTCTGATATTAATTGACGAGTCAAAGGATCAAGTATTTATCATAAAATCAGCTCGAATAAATAGGAAACTAGCAAAACTAACAGAATATTAATATCAGTTGTTATCCTTCACGTACATTGAAATAAAATATAACTCATACATTATTTATGATTTATATTGTCCTTTTCCGTGAAAAAAAGATGATTCTTCGACAAAATTCAATTACACTGTTCGTAACACTATTCTAATGACCACTATAATAGTCAATAAAGGTATAAATTAATGATAATGTATTCATATAGGCAGAGCTTTTAATTTGTAGCGATCTGTTCGTAGTACAAAGCGTGAAATTGTGCCATTCAAGCAGATTTGCATTCGGTTCTTAAGATTCCATTATTTCAAGTAAAATGCTTACCGTGCTGATTTCATCATCATTTTACTGTACAATATCATGTTACTAGGCCTTTAACAATACATCAGACAACGTATATAACATTGGTATCAAGCTAATGGATATTAAGTTTTTCTCCTAGCACCATTTATAACAATTTAGATAATAATTAAATAATTTCTTTAGATAAAATGGGTACATTATATAATCCTACTTCGCTTAACAATATTATATCCGTAAAATATTTTATTCCATTGTATACTTTCATTTATAGTTATAATATCATTCATTTAGATAGAATCAATACGTAGCCAACGCATTACGATTTTTACTTCAATATTACAAATATCTTATCACATTAGTTTGATAATCAATAACAAAGCTACTCCAATTATAATAGCATAAATAATTCGATCAGCATATTGAAGAATGCTCAAGATATTTGATTTCCTGTCATCTTTTCCATTCTATGGTGTAATTTGTATTTTAAAATTAATATAATTAAAAATTTTCCACTACCAATAGCAAACTAAGACTAAATTAACTGACGTCAAAATCTCCCACTACTAATATTAAATTACTAATAGTTCACAAAATATAAAAGACTCTTTTCGTTTACTGGCAGATGTTTATAAATGTTAGTCGGACCCATAAACCACTGATACAACTGTAGAAAATTTTAATTCATTATCAGATATCTTAGCTATACGCGTCTATTTAGTGAGCGCATTAGTCTACGGCTGACTAATTAGTAATTAATTCATATTCGCAAAGGATAATTTAACAACACTGGATATCGGTATCTATCTTTCATTACCTAAAGCTAGAAAATTCTTAATTGTCAGTTTCATTTACCTAAAATTCCAGTCTACGTTAAATTTTCAAACCATTTTGATGTTACAATTTTTAATTTTCTAACGAATAAATTACTGGGCCCTTCTACCCAAAATTACTTCCAGGTCAGCAAATCAATATATTATTTGATCCAAAAGGAATCGGTATAATATAGTAATTATTTTTTTAAGGCGTTTTGAAATTATTTCATTTTAAAATAAAATAATATCTGACGATATTTGTAGATTTCTTGTCGGCTTCTCAATTAGCCTCGGCGTTGGTATATTCTCAGTTATTTTGTCTTAAAATTGTCTGCAGGTAAAGTAAATTTTTATCAACAATCATCTTTAAACTAAATTGAGTATTACTATGTCATCATTCTGTTGAAATAAATAATCTTGCTAGGATAACGAATTGTTAATTCTTTTTCTATGTCATTTTTTATGCTCTGTTACCGTTCTTTCACCAGGAGTATTCTTCATAGCACAAGTGATCTTTATATCAGTTTGATTTATAGTCGTCTCAGGATATTCTTACAAGACTAGCTAAGATAATTATCAATTTCGTCGAACTAATCTTCCAGTATATAGTGATCATCATGTCTACCAACAACACAACTACTGATTTACCATGGTATCGAGCTTATACTTTGCACAGCTATATCACTATGGGCATTATTGGAAGTTTATCCGTTATCACTAATTGTATTATGACCTTATTAATCGCCTATCACAAAAAACTAAGGACTAGAACTAATATCATCATACTTAGTATGTCATTATCCAATATTGGACTTGCCATATTATTTATCTATCCACAATACGTTGTTCCATATTGGCCAGAACGATTAGGACCTTATTGCAATGTCCTTGAACAAATAGGTTCCTTATTTATTGCCAGTACAAGTTTTCATCACTGTGCAGTATCTATCGACCGTGCATTCGCCATTAATTTTCCCATAAAATATGGCTTATATTCTAAACATCTTCATACGACAATTCTGTTGTGTTCCGTTTGGTTGTGCGCATTGCTTTTAGGATTTATGCCTATATTCATATTACGACGAATTACTGACAATGCTTGCATTAACCCGAAATATGTCAGTTTAATCGATCTATACCTTTATTATAGAGTATTTTGGGGTATAGTCCTTTTCTGCCCGGTATTAATTACCATTGCATGCTATACTGACATTTTATATAACATCAATTCACCTATCCGAAGACAAGTTTACTTCTGTAATTCAAGGATATCCAAGACTAAACTAATGCAAAATTTGAAGACAACATTACAGATGGCCATTATGATAGGTGCCTTCATTGTAACTTGGTCTCCCTTCATCATCATGCATTTTTACATTAGCTTTAATAAATCTCAAGATATAACGAGAGACTTATTGATACTTGAAATTTTACGATTTGTTGCTTTTAGTTATATAATATTCTGCCCGATTCTACATGGTCACTACCTTAGAATGATACGAGAGACATGGTTAAGAGTAATTCGCTGTCGTCAGAATAAAATTGAAGGTGGTCATACCAGCAGCTTTGCACAAAGCCAAAGTGGTATAGTAACTTATAGTCTACGTTCAACTAGATCAGACGCTAGAATATATGCTGGTCTTAAGGCTAAATCTGACTCTCAAAAAGATCCAAAGTTCGGTTCCATCTCCAGCACAAACTTACTTAATAAATCAGATTCAAAACAAGAAGATAAGCCAGTAGATTAATCAGATACCAGAAAGCAAGATATCATTATTTCTATCATATACATTAAAGAATAAATTTCATTCGATGGGCTCAATGAACTCTGAAACTATTCTCTAACCAAATATCTTCCTGTAGAATATCTCTAAAAGTGTTAGAAAACGATTAGAACTACTTTTAACGGATCAAATATGATCTGGCAAAACGTTTCCAGTTAACGTAAACTTTTCCCAAAAAATAGATTTTAGATGGTAAATGTAGAATTAGATAAAATTTTTACGGATTATCATTCTATTATTATCATCTGATCCATTAGGAGAACCTTCAAATATTAACATTGATGTATTCTTTCTAATTTAATATATATTAATATTTTTAGTTGCAGAACTACTCTTCATCTATAATCGATTTTTAGCAAATATACCCGTCGCTATAACATCCTCTGTATGCAACTGAAATCAACTCGAGCTGTTTAGAAAAATGAAAAACAACTTCTCTTGAACTGTGCATAAAACTTTCTATGTGAAACAGTTTATTGCGACATGTGTAACCAAGTTATATATACTATCGTAGTATAGCATAATATCTAAATCTAAAGAAAAATAGGTCAGAACATCAATTGATATTTTAAATATACAAACGTAAAAAACATACTTTAATGATTGGAATGAAAATGACATTAAGTTGCTTTGTGATTGGATTTCCTATTTTCTCCTTTTAATTTATGACTGAGGATACTACTGCTATGCGTATTTAATATAAATTAATTAAATTTAATTCTATTTTAGTTCTATTAATACGGTATAAACTACGCCTGCCACTATGAATATCATGGTATTCTGTGGTTATTTAACTATTGGCTAGTAAACCTAAAATATCCTTCTTCTAAGACTTAACATCGCCTATTGATACTATCATAACTACTATTATGTAATAACCTTATAAATCCATCAATTATATGTATTGATGTACTCATCATACAATTATTGTAGTTTGCTTGCCTACTTGAACACAATTTAGAACTTAAATATTAGTCAATATCACCTTTTCAGCAGTAAGCACGAAGTTATCAGTTAATAACGCTTATACAATCAGAAGTTCGCGGCATAATATTAATTGCTTGAGTTTTTACCGAGCTGTACCCAAATTCTAGCTAAATATTATACGTAATAATAATATTATAATATAATGATTTCACTAGCACATTTGAACACAGTCTATAAGCTGTCAGTTCCTGTGCTCAGTACTTGATATAAGAGCAAATACCGTACTTCACCGCTTTATCATCGGCCACGGCCCACTAACATACTTTATTTTATGCAAAATATTGCAAATGTAAATCATTATAAGACACTAAAGAAATAGCCCAATTTTACATATTTTAATTTTAACACACAAAATTATTCGAAGAGTTAAAAGCTATTATTTGCGTCTGAAAACTCCCAATTGTACTTATACATTCAAAAATATTGATATTTAGAGTATGCATACGCTAAAGTCACAATTCATAGTGTATACTAATTGTAATAAGTGTGAACGTTGTCCATTATCTAAAATTAATGACCAAACAAATGTTGTAATAATAATTTCTTCGACATAATTTGCATTGAACTGAAACTGTATACCTCGACACCAAATGTTAACAATTTATCTTATAATCTATATAAAAATATTCAAAATATAAACAAGTACAATACATGCTCAAATAACCAAAACAATTAATGAACGTCCTAGATCAAAATCTATAGCAAAAAGAATGAACTAGGCCGATAATTATCTTGCAAAGTTTGTTATATAATTTAATTATACTAGGCGATGTAGTCTAATTTATTAATCTACTTGATCTGAATGTCTTAAATCAGGCTGACAAAGAATTTACCGTAGTAGAAATACTGATAAACATAACGAAATAGCTTTAAATAATCATCCAATACGTACAATGAAACTATTGTTGAACATTATTTGTCGTATTTATCATGATCTGACTGGATATTAATAAATGAAATAAAGAGAATTACACTTATTTTAATGGATCTTTTCCATTTAGTGATAAAATTTAATTTTACTTTAATCTTTCAATCGAATCATTTTCAACCTAAATCATTTTATTGCATGCTCATTCTTAAATGGCAATTATCAATCGGGTTATGATTTTAATAATTAATAGTTTAGAAAACTACCGTAATTTTAAGCTTGCCAATTTTTGTTGTATGATATCTATGACATCAACAACTATTGAGAGGAGAAAAACAAACTTTTAACATCTGTCAAGGTACCACATACTATAGAAAAAATGGGAATAATAAAATCATGCAATCTAATTACCTTATTACTTTTCAGTAATGAAGGCTACACCTGTCTTTCCATTTGTTAATAGTATCATCATAGCCAACACTCATACTTACCAGTTTGATAGATGAATTTAGGAATCAAGTCAATAATAATAACTCTATTTCACGAAATAATTTTACTTCTTCAATCATGTGAGCCGGCGCGTATCAATGAATGATATTACGCAATATCCTCGGACTATTTCTATGCTCCATACGTAACACAACTCTACTCTAGCCGAATACTACTGCTAAAGACTTCTAGAACGAACTAACAGAATAATCTAAAGTTGCATGCTTTTATACTTTTCGTAGCATTCACAGCTACAATCCGCATGGCAACCTTTTACCTTATTTTACACATAGTAAATTATTCTTAGTAACACAATTCTACTGCGGACCACCATTAATCCAATATGGATACGACTACAGTACTTACGTAGACATTATTCACACCAGCCAAAGTACAACGAATTAACCATATCCTAATATATGATTTACAGTTCTATTTTTACCTATAACCTTATTAGTAACTCAGCACCTTACTGTATATAGTCATCTATACTCTAGCATAGAGTCTATACCACTACAGTCTATAGTTATAGCTACCAAATATCTCTTAGGATAATATCTACCGTACATTATACTAAACATGGCTAACAGTCTACAATCACAATACTAGTTACATTACAACCTACATATAAAATCTCCCTTTAACGAGAATAGTTAAGATTAGGATACGCAAATAATATAAATAAAACTTTCTAATTGGCAGTAATCTAGCATGCAATTTTCTCAATTAGTGTTCAATAATTTTTTAGGGGACTCTTTTAATTCTCACTAATACTATATATTTTGATAGATGTAATAGCTTAATTAATCTTCAATGAACTTTCGCTACATTTTACTGCTACTATACTTATGACATAAAAGCGAATACAGTATGTATGTATTAATTGCAGTTATCTTCTATTAGTAAAGCTACTCTAATGGTCTTCTGTAATTCTTTTCTACAAAAAAAATATACACTAAGTATATGGCAAATAACTAAAGTAGCGCTAACATGATAGCACCTTCAAAACGGAGTACACCATTTTCTTAAAATAAGCTCACAGTTAAATTTTTCCTAGACTCTATAATGCTTTTTGTAAAATATGACTGAGATAATTAACTCATTTTAGCCAGATTACCTTATCTACCCAAATAATCTCTAACCACCGTAAACTGAATGATTTAACACGAGTAGAAAAGTATGCTGCAAAATGTGTCGTAAATAGATAACAGTATTTAGGCTTAGTTAAACAGCACTACCGTTAAGTAAGCATTGCTATTTACCCGTATCATATCGCTTTTAAATTGTCCTGGCATACGGTCATGCAGTATCATCCAATGTAAAATTAAACAGCATTCACTGAGCATCGTTTATAAAGAACTAAAGTTTTTCTAACAAATGTAATTTACATCTAACGTCAAATTTATATACACACATGTAGTATCACTAAAGACCATGTTATCCTACTAGTTGCAATTCAGATACAATGTAAATGAATTTTCGTTTATTTACTATAAAGGAGAACTATTTTCGTATTTTTTTAATTAACACTACCTATACATTAGCTATCAAGGATCAATTTATAAACTACTTGATTTATTATACTGGTCCAGTTAATTATAGCTGTCAAGTTTAGGAGCTATTTATAAATTGATAATCACTGACTAAATATTTTCTATAAAATGGAAATGAAAATGTTACAAATCGAAAATTGGAACCAGGTAGTAGATACTATTAGTACTTTGTCACAAAACAGCTTTGCAACAAGATAACGTAATGTACGATCAATAAATCAATTCCTTGAACCACGTATCAAGGAACGATATCTGCACTATCACAAACACTTTTGCTCTACTAGTAGACTACACAAAGACTTAAACGCCTCGTAATTTACGTTAACTCTAAGTCTACGAATCCACTTTATTACACGATATACTGCATTTATATACTATTCCTCAATAGTTCATGAGTCATAGTTAATACAATTAACCTCGGAATCATTTTCTGAATTAGATATTAATTTTAGCTACTGCTTCCTTAATGCAGACAACAATATTTACGAACATAGACATCTGATGACTAATACAGAATAGTTAGACTATAGTGTCAGAAATTATTACTCAGCAAATTTACTGTCAGGTTTGCTCTTCCAACAAGTACATAAAGTACAATTCTATATAGTGACGATCTCTCTACAGCCAGAAGGTTACAGTAAATTTTATATTGTCTACCGCTGCTTAGTAAATAGTTCGGTAGCGAAATAGGTCAATACATTTTATAAACATTTTTTTGATAAACTCTTGATGCAGCGGATACTCAAGAAATTAGAACAATCCTCACAGTTTGTATGAATGTAATTGCTCTAATAATATTCATAACACATGATCGATTAGGAATTTACAGTCTATTATACGAAATATTGTTTTACGTTCATAATTGGAAACATTGTGAATAATTAAATCATTCGAATTTTGCCTTAATTATTAGCTTTTTACACCAGTAGTGATTGATGAGCATGCTAATTTCATTTTTTTATATCATTCTCAGAGAAAGTTCCTCAGAGAAAAAGTTTATAAACACTAGCATTACCAGTACGTCTGAATGGCTTTGCGAATTTTCATTTACCTTGAAGACGTGGTTC